AATTAGGCCTTGACCTTGGTCCTACCCTTGCCAGACCTGCATGGCCTAATTTTAGCAAGAATCCTGCTAAGTCAGTTTAGAGAGAATCACCCCACTCTCCACTGAACTTGATATCCGATCACCTTCCTGCAGCAGAAACACCCCCACCCTTGACTCTCCTAGTAATTTTCCATCCACCTTCCACCTCCACCCCCACTCTGCTCCTTGGCTAGAAACTCCAACCAGTCCCCGTATTGGGGGTGAGCTCAATCTCCTCTCTTACAGTAGTCTTTTTTTTTTTTCGGTAGAGACAGAGGGCTCACTTTATTGCGTCACACAGCTCACAGCAATCTCTAACTCCTGGGCATAGGCAATTCTCTTGCCTCAGCCTCCTGAGTAGCTGGGACTACAGGTACCTGTCACAGCGCTCAGCTATTTTTTGTTGCAGTTTGGCTGGGGCCAGGTTTGAACCCGCCACCCTCAGGATATGGGGTTGGTGCCCTACCCACTGAGCCACAGGTGCCGCCTACTGCAGTAGTCTTGACACTGTTCTGAATATAGTCTTTCTTATTTATTTTTTATTTTTATTATTATTTTTTTGAGACAGAGTCTCACTCTGTCACCCTGGGTAGAGTGCCGTGGCATCATGGCTCACAGCAGCCTCAAACTCTTAGGCTCAAGTGTCCTCCTGCCTCAGACTCCCCAGCAGGACTACAGGTGCCCCCCACAACGCCCAGCTATTTTTAGAGATGTGGTTTCATTCAGGCTCAGGTTGGTCTCCAACTCATGAGCTCAGACGATCCACCCACCTCAGCCTCCCAGAGTGCTAGGATTACTGGTGTGAGCCACCACGCCCAGTCCTTATTGTTTTTTTTCTTAAAGAGTGTCAGAATAATATCTTTCTTCCATAGCAAGAATGGATACAAACTAAAATGTGAATGAAATAGCCTGTAAAAACCTATGGAGATTTCTCTCAGGAAATAAATACAAGCCAGTTTCACTTCTGAAAGACAGTCTGACCAGTTTGGGGAAGGAGGGAACTCTGTTATCACTTGAGTCCTATACCTGGACTGAGATGCCCCAGGGCTCTGCCAGTCAGAAATGTGGGCAGAATTTTCTCTTGTTTCCTAACTGCCAGTCTGTGAGATGAGCAGAAGGACTGTCGTCACAGTTCTCAGTGACTTCTCCAACCCACACCGTTTTCTAAACCCAGGGAATCCCCTGGTCAGAGAACCAGTCAGGCAAAAAAAGGGAGCTGGCAAAGGCACAGTGGATTCCGTCAAGTACTGGCCCCACCAAAGAGAGGACCAGGGAAGGGATCAAGGGGAGAGTCCTGGGTAGAAGGGAGTATCAGAAAAGCATATGCTGGCTCGGTGCCTGTGGCTCAAGTGGCTAAGGCACCAGCCACATACACCTAAGGTGGTGGGTTTGAATCCAGCCTGGGCCTGCCAAAACAACAATGATGGCTGCAACCAAAAAAATAGCCGGGTGTTGTGGCGGGTGCCTGTGGTCCCAGCTACTTGGGAGGCAGAGGCAGGAGACTCGCTTGAGCCCAGGAGTTGGAGGTTGCTGTGAGCTAGGATGCCACAGCACTTTACCCAGGGGGAGAGCTTGAGGCTCTGTCTCAAAAAAAAAAAAAAAAAAAAAAGAAAGAAAGAAAGAAAAGCATATGCTGCTGGGAGGGGTAGTTCTTTACATGCCTTGGTTCAGAGTAGTAAAAAATCAGGTCATGGGCTGTGTGCCCGTAGCTCAGTGGTTAGGGTCACATGCTCTGGGGCTGGTGAGTTCAAACCCAGCCTGGGCCTCCTAAACAAAAAAACAGCCAGATATTCTGGTGGGCGCCTATAGTCCCAGCTATCAGGGAGGCTGAGGCAAGAGAATCGCTTGAGCCCAAGAGTTTGAGGTTGCTGTGAGCTGTGATGCCACAGCACTCTACCAAGGGTGACAAAGTGAGACTCTGTCTCAATTTAAAAAAAGAAAGAAAGAAAGAAAAAAAAAAACCAGGACATGGAAATTAGAGAAAAACACCATCTTAGATTAGAGTCAATAGATCAATATATATATATATTCCTGTCTCTAAACACCACCACACTTTATAAATTTCTCTTTTAAATGATATTTAAAGGGCTTGTTGACAAGTCATCCAACACTTGGTGCTATGAGGTTGAACCCGAGGAATGATCACTAGATCCACTTAAAACGTGTCTCTTTTTACCCCTTGTCAGGTTGTCACTATCATCAATCATCTGAGGATATTCACTGAGATCATTCCAGGCTAATGAATTTTCCCCAAATTGTATTTGTTCTTCAAAATTAAAAAAAAAAAAAAAAAGAGCATCACAGTTTGAAAGACTTTGCAAAGACTTTCAGACAACTTTCTCTTTTTCTGATGGGCAAATGAGAAAAGTGGGTGGTCCAAGGCAGGTCAAGAAGATGAGCACCTAAAATGAAAGAAAGTGAAGACTGCAATATTAAGAAAGCAACAAACGTTTCATGTTTCTGCATTAACTCAGATTGTGTACCCTGTAGGCAGAAATTGACGTTAAGAGGACTGACACATTACCTGAGGTCACGTTGTTCCTTGACATCGCAACTTCTATTTTTGTCTTCTTGGGTCTCTGGTGTGAAAGGAAATTACTTTCACTTCTTTCATGACTGGCATCTTGATCCGGAAAGATATCTATTTGGAGGCCAACACAAAACGTATAATAATTACTTGTACGCTGTGATAACTAGGAAAGCACAGGTTAATCCTTACTGTCCCAGTGTTTAAAACAATAACATATGCGTTCTGCAGTAGCTCTTTTGTATCACCTCATACTATTTGACATCTCAAATTAGGTTCACCAGTTGGGTCAACACTGAGAAAAGGCTGGGCACAGTAGCTCACACCTGTAATCCTAGCACTCTGGGAGGCCAAGGCAGATAAATAGCCTGGGCCCAGGAGTTTGAGACCAGCCTGAGCAAGAGTGAGACCTTATCTCTACTAAAAGTAGAAACACTAGCCAGGCGTCGTGGTGGGTCTCTGTAGTCCCACCTACTCGGGAGACTGAGGCAGGAAGGATTGCTTGAACCCAAGAGACTGAGGTTGCTGTGAGCTATCATGACACCAAAACACTCTACCCCAGGGCAACAGAGTGAGACTCTGTTTCAACCCCCCAACCCCAAAACAAACAAACAAACCAAATAAACCCCCAAAACACTGAAAAGACAGAGAATTAAATTTATTTTAATAAACTACATACTAACTGTGATATTCTTGTGTTACACAACTCTCATTGGTAGAGATGCAGGAGTTCATCACATTCCTGAACAAGCCTCTTTGTGCATGTACGAGAATTTCTCTTTTTTTTTTTTTGCAGTTTTTGGCTGGGAAAGGGTTTGAACCTGCCACCTCTGGCACATGGGGCCGGCGCCTTATTCCTCTGAGCCACAGCCATCGCCTGAGAATTTCTCATACATGTTATTGAACATGGCTTAGAGAAAGTCACATAACCGCAATGACGGTACCTTAACTTGAATTCAGGATCCTGAACCTCGAGTGGCCTGCCTTTGCACAGCCTGACAATCACACCAGTCTCGAGTCTGTTCATTCTCCCCCTCCCCTGCGTGACTGTCTCCACTTCTTCCCTCTACTCAACATCTAACATTAGGAAGCCTCCCTTAGTCTTAGCTGGGACGTTTATGTTGCATCTCATGACATTGCCGAACTTGTTTATTAGTTCCAGGAGATTTGTAGATTTCTGGGAATTATCTAAAAGCCGTGTTATCTTTCACTAGGAGAAAGATTTTACTGTATCTTGTTTTAGTTACCTATAGATCTTCATATTTAATAAGAATATATTTGTGAGCCAAGCACAGTGGCTCAAGCCTGTAATCCCAGCACTCTGGGAGGCTGAGGGTGGACCTCTTGAGCTCATGAGTTCAAGACCAGCCTGAGCAAGAGCAAGACCTCATCTCTAAAAACAGCTGGGCATTGTGGTGGGCACCTGTAGTCCCAGCTACTTGGGAGGCTGAAACAAGAGAATAGCTTGAGCCCAAGCGTTTGAGGTTGCTGTGAGCTGTGAGGCCACAGCACTCTATTGAGGGCAAAAAAGTGAAAGTCTGTCTCAAAAAAAAAAAAATGTATTTGTGATTTCTAAGATGTGGAACAAAATTTTAATCTAGATAATCTGAGTCATCATAAGGCCTCTGAGAATTCACTGAGCTAAAAACAAATGCTTTGTGTAAGTATGAAAGCAGAAATCATCACTACGAAAAACAATGCTGAATTTAAAAAGCCAATAACGACAATAACCACACACACAGACACATATACCTGTAGTTTAATTCCGATCTCCTACTTTTAGGAAGCTAACTTCGAACTGACCACAGCCTTTCCCTTTTGTCCTCTCATTCCCCTAAACCATGTTCTGTTTTGCTCCTCAGCTTTCCTATCCTTCCTGCTAAACCTCAAGCACTGAATGGATTAGGGGTGCACATGGGGCCCAAGGCAAACCATGAGGGGAACTGCAAGGCATAATTCTTTTCCAACTACCAGTCTGGGATGCATGAGTTAACCACGCCAAAGGAACACACTTTCTCATTCTCATCAATCTTGTGAAAATCAGAAACCCTATATCCATCTTAAGGTCTATCACTCGCAGACTAGTGACAGTCCCACACAGCTCCTTATTTAGAATCTGACTTTTTAAAAGTCTGGGTCTTCGATGGAATGCAAGTCTATCACTCACCGGCCTGGCAAATGAAGTAATGTTCCAGTGAGCACATGTCTTCTTTGAATGAGATCTGATGGAAGGTCCTGGACAGGTAGAGGCAGGCAATGGGATAAGCCAGAGGGGCTGGAACATCTGCTGAGTGGGAGAGACCAGATCCAGATGAGCTTCACACTTAAAAGTCAGACATTTAAAAAAATACATGAAAACCACATTTGGCTGGCTTCCGGTTGATGAAAATTTAGGATTTCTGACCACATGTTATAGATTGCGTATTTTTTCATTTGGGTTCTTTACCACAAGGCTTGGTACTAACTTAGCCAGATATCAATGAAGATGATGAGGAAGATAGAGTAATGCCTTGGAAGTGTATTTCTAAACGTCAAGGTTATGGCAAGTAACTTTCAAGCTACTATGTAAGAAAGAAAACAGGCAGATACTCTGTTCCCTGGTTTTTTGCATTCTAAAACTTGGAGCCGAGAATAACAGAGAGATGATTACCAGGAAATAAAAAGTCCATAAAAGGTGTCCCTCTTTGGAATCTAGTACAATTCTTTTAGTGAAATAGTTAACTTTAGATAGGCTCTAAGAAAAATCTTATCGCCTTTGTGACACAGACAAAATCAAAGGCCTTAGCACACATGAGACTATTTCAGAGGAAGGAGAGTAATAAAGTGGTTTTTTTGTACACAAAGAAAGATTAAAATTCTTTTCTTTCTCCTGTCCCAGAACAAAATGTCAGGAAGATTCCCTTATAAACACTAACCCCGAGGGCCTTACTTGGGTGGTTGTTTTCCATACGGTTTCCCGGCTTTGAGTTTTTCCCAACCCACCACTTCTTTCCCTCTTCCAGAAAGTCCCGGAGGTGGTCTTGGACTTTCTTGTTCCAAACATGAGCAAGGCGTCCTCCCTGGGCACGACAGTGATTTTCTGCTTTCTCAAAGCTTCGGTGAAATCTGTTAAGCTGATAACAATGATTTTTCTCATGTAGCTCTGGGCTGTTTATACCTCCTAGGATGATACTTGTTCTGATGTACAACCAAAGCCAGGGGCTTCCTCTGAAGAACATCTTTGTGAACTGTGAGCAAGAAGATGTGTGAGGATTCAGCGGCTGCCTGGGCCTTTAAATATCTATCTCAGTGGCTTTGTCTGATTAGTATTACTCTCTTATGAACTGGGAACATTTATCCAGGAGACAAAAGGTTTGGTTTGGTTTTGTGGACCCAGGTGCAGTTTTTATAAGCTGAAAACAAATTGCAGAGGTTAAACAAGCAATGTGCCTTTACAACTGGGCCATCACCACCTGTGTCTACACAATTAGATATGCTTTAGTGAATCAAGATGGATCATAAAGCTACGTTTAAGCTTCCAGGGAGTAGAGGGTAACGAACATCTAAGTCAATTTTTAGTGTTGTTATGAATTGATAAACATGTTTTTGTTTTTTTAAAAAGAAAACTATTCTTACAGACCTCTAGGTTAGATTTCTTTTTCTTATTTTTTTTTTTAGAGACAGAGTCTCACTTTGTCACCCTCAGTAGAGTACTGTGGCATCACAGCTCACAGCAACCTCCAGCTCTTAGGCTAAGGTGATTCTCTTGCCTCAGCCTCCCGAGTAGCTGGGACTATAGGCACCCACCACAGTGCCTGGCTATTTTTTGGTTGCAGTTTGGCTGGGGCTGGGTTTGAACCCACCACTGTCAGGGGCCGGTGCCCTACTCACTGAGTCATAGGTGCTGCCCATAGGTTAGTTTTTTTTGTTTATTTTTGGAGACCAAGTCTCACTCAGTTGCCCTGGGTAGAGTGCTATGGCATCATAGCTCACAGCAACCTCAATCTCTTGGGCTCAAGTAATCATCTTGTCTCTGCCTCTCAAGTAGCTGGGACTATAGGAGCTCCCCACAACAGCCGGCTTGTTTCTTTTTATTTTTTATTTTTAGTAGAGACAGGTCTTGCTCTTACTCAGGCTGGTCGAGGGCTCCTGAGCTCAAGCAATCCACCTGCCTCAGTCCCCCAAAGCGCTAGGATTATAGGTGTGAGCCACCATGCCCGGCCTAGGATAGATTTTAGATTTTTTTTCCCCTAGGACATATTTTTAAAAATAAAATTTATTGCATATATTTAAGATTCACAAAATGTTACAAAATACATTATATAGATAGAAGATTACTACAGTAAAGCAAATTAACATATCTATCATCTCACCTAGTCACCCATGAGCAGTTAAAATCTCATTTAGCACGAACCTCATTTACGGTACAATTTTATTGCCTATATTCTTCAGGTTGTACATTAGGTCTCTAGATTTGTTCACCCTGTATATCTGCTAGAATTGATTTAAACTGTTTTTCAAATTCATGCAAACAAAACTGGACATGAACTCTATCCTAAAGCTCATACACAATCACAAAACCAAACAGTAAATATTTAATGGAAGAATGAATACAAATTAAATACAAATACACCAAGGAAATCCAAATTTGCCGTGCTAAATGGCAGATAAATATGGTTCTGGTTTATGCTTACACAGGTTCCTTTGAATTTGGCATGCACGCTATTTTATGCTATAGGTAAGAGTCAATTCTCCTATTGCTTTTCTTTGACTTGCCAAAAAACCTTCATCCAGCATGTTGTTTGGTCTTTACTGGTTGCACATTCATCATTTATATACCACAGCTTGATCTTTCTTGGTGCCAAAAAGCAATCATAAATGCAAACAAATGTGAGTACTGAAACTGCTTGGCAGGTTTTAGGATCAAGTGAGTTATCCAAATGGTCCAAATGGTGCTTACGTTTCGTCTTTTTTTTTTTTTTTGGGCCAGGGCTGGGTCTGTACTGGCCACCTCTGGCATATGGGGCTGGCACCCTACTCCTTTGAGCCACAGGCACAGCCCAGCTTATGTTTCTTTTAAAAATCATCATAGTGCCGGGTGCGGTGGCTCACATCTATAAGGCCAGCACTCTGGGAGGGCAAGACAGGTGGATAGCTTGAGCTCATGAGTTTGAGACTAGTCTGAGCATGAGAGAGACCCCATCTTTTTTTTGAGACAGAACCTCAAGCTATCCCCCTGGGTAGAGTGCCATGGCATCACAGCTCATAGCAACCTCCAACTCCTGGGCTCAAGCGAGTCTCCTGCCTCAGCC